CTCCGATGTTGTTTTTTCCAACATGCCAAACCCTTATCCTCTGCTCATGAATTGGTGTCAATTCTTACCTATATCTCTCCATTTCTTCCACAAATGGGAGGGTTTGTTTCTCTTTTCCACTGGGCTTCAAGTGGAGTGGGGCTGACCAATGCCAGCTTATTGTTTCGAGCCACCTGTAAGGAAGACTTGAATTTTTCCCTCTTCAATTATAGGGAAACGCACAGAAGGCCATACACTGAGAGGGTGCTGCAGGAGCAGGCACCCTGGGTGTTTGAGCCTGGTTACCTAGGTCCCCTCAGGTTCCACTCCTGCCTGCTTCTGCTTGGTGACGAAGTTCCAGTCTGAGTCAGAATATATAGCGCTTTTTGTTGTTGTTGTTCAAAATATGACAGAGGTCCCTTTTTCTCCCCAGTGACCCACTCCACCCCTTTGCACCCCCCTCCCCAGTCCCTCTTCCCACCATTGCCCATGTCCTTGGATTGTACATATATACATATAAGTTCTTTGGTTAATCTCTCCCCCTCCACCCACCCGATCCCCCCATCCCTCTGAGATTTGTCAGTCTGATCCCTGCTTCCATGTCATTGAATCATTTCTGTTCATCAGTTTATTAAGTTCTTTAGATTCCACATACAAGGAAGATCATGTGATGTTTGTCTTTCTCTGCCTGGCTTATTTTGCTTAGCATAATACTCTCCAGATCCCTCCATGCTGTCCCAAAGGGTACGAGATCCCCCTTCTTTACAGCTGCATAGTACTCCATGGTGTGAATGTCCCACAGCTTTTTCATCCACTCATCTACTGATGGGCACTTGGGCTGTTTCCAGATCTTAGCTATTTTAAATTGTATAGCACTTTTTAAAAAACTTTTTAAAATTTATTTCAGAGAGAGAAAGGGAGAGATGGAAACATCAATGATGAGAGTCATTGATCAGCCGCCTCCTGCTCGCCCCCTACTGGGGATGGAGCCCAAAACCCAGGCATGTGCCCTGACTGGAATCAAACTGTGACCTCCTGGTTCAACAACTGAGCCATGCCGGCCGGGCAGAACACATAGCTCTTGATGAGCACTTAGATTGCAGTCACTTGATGTTCCACAGCCAGGCGTTTTGTCTCTTATCAAAGAAAGATTGTAAGCCAAAAACGATTTCTCAAAAGTGAAATAGCTCTTGACAAAGACAGCATGCCTTTATTCCAAAATATCACTCCTGTAATTTGTCCAGCGGAACCTTCCCCAGGCTTGACAGAGGATACCAGTCTGTCAAACCAAGTGGCAACGCTGCTTGCAGTGTAGCTTGGACCAGCTGAAGGGACTTCCCTGGCTTTCAGCCCCAGTGAAGCTGGTAGCCTTTTGAATCTCCCACCTAATGGGTCAGAAAGGTACATCCAAATATTATACAAGTATCCCCCAAAACTCCAAAAGGTCCTCCAAGTAGTATGCTTCTTTCTTCTTGGTAGTGAGCATAAGATAACCACAACTTGTCTTTGGAGAGGTTTTGTCAACATGCCTAGATTAAGGGATTCCCCCCCACCCCCGTGCCCAAAGAAACTTCACAGAGATTACTGGCTACTGTATTTTCATGGGATGTATATTTAGGATGCATGTATGTATATTTAATTTATTCCCCCTTCATCCAACATTGACATGCTCATAGCAACTTAGTGACCTAGGGTTGGGCACCTTTCTTTTTTTATGCACTGCTAGTATCTCAGTCCCTCAAACTTCCTTACTCCCTGCACCAATTCTCCTGTTTCCCCAACAGCTGTGTCCATGGTTCCTACCAAATCAGCCATTCACCCACTGAGAATGTGTTGAGTGCCCACTATGTGCCAGGCACTTAGAACCACTGGGTATTCCGTGATGAGCATGGACATGGCTGCTGCCTGCCTCTCACAGTTAGCAAACCAATATCCAGGATTCAGAAAGTGGGCAGGAGAGGGAAAGGAGCACTGACCTTGATCACAGGTTCTGCCCACCAGCCTGAGAAACAGACCCTAACCAGAAAGAGCAGCCGCGTTTCCTTCTATGGAGGAATCTAATAAAAGAACTAGAATGTTCCTCCAGTTTTCCTGTGGGGAGAAAAAAGTTGGATGGAAACTCTGTTTCTTCCTGTGGTAGAAGCCTAAATGCAAAGAAATAGGGAAGAGACTTTCTCCTGATACCAGCAGTATCCTTGGCAGTGCTGAGTGCCCACTGGTTATAATTGATTCACAGTGCCACCACCCTGCCTGGTTGAGTGATTTCTGCATGCTGGACCGATCCGGATACAGTTTTCCCGAATGAATAGGACAGAGGAAGAGGGGCTTGGGAATTGAGATGTTTCCAAGAGAACAATCATAGTGATGTTTCCCAGAACTAAGATACGGAAGGAGGTAAAGATAGCAGGGTATTGATGGATAGAAAGTGATAGAGTTGGTCAGTGGCTTACAAACCTTAATGAAATTAACGAATTATCACAGTAAAAGCATGCTGGTGGGCTGTGAAATTCTGTTCCAAAAAATAGATGAAATTTGCCGTTTTTGAGGTCGTGAGCATTTCTGATGGTGAGAAGGAAGTGGATCGGAAAGGCAGAATGGATGGGAAAGTTCATCAGAAATGAGGAAGTCAAGAAACTTAGAGATGACACCAGACAGTTGAAGGGATGTTGAAATCAGTGAGCAGAGTGACAGGAGCTGAGACAGGAAGGAAAACAAAGCAGAGGGAATGACCAGGCAGTTGGCAGATGATAACAGATGAGCTGGATGGCATAAGCCTCAAAGGAGCAGGGGTCTTTTTTACAACAGTGTTGGGAGAATTGTTATCTGGAAGTGGCAGTGGGGAGGCAGAAGCCACCTCCTCCTGCTGCTGCTGGATGAGCCACCTGAGCAGTCTGCAGGGACAGCCGTGCTCCCAGGGACCGGCCGGTTTCAGTCAAGGCCAGGAGGAGGGAACATTCTGAGAGGACTGTTCTTTGACAATGGGATAGGAGTTGCTCATATGTACCTTTCTGGGCATGGTACCTCTGCTAAATTCACACATATAAAGATGAGTAGCAAAACAATAACAAATTAATTATCCTTGAGAAAAATGTTTAAATATGTAATCACTTGAGAATCTCTCTGGTGGGAATTCTGAGGAGAAACAGGAAAGCAAAGGAAATGGCAGAAAGAGGAGGTAAAATGCTTTCTTCACAGCAAATGGTACTTGTGGTGTTGGGTCACAGAACTGAGCTGTAATGTCAGCAGTAGGGATAATGAAAGTGAGCAAAAGTCAAGAGTACCAGGTAACCACTGGTCCCTCACAAAGATCTTTGATGCATCAGCAAGTAACAGATGAGTTTGCTTAAGGATGACCTCAATGCTCAAAATCATTGACAACTTGGAAACTGAGACACATGCAATCTCTGGCTCATCTAACGCTTAATGCTTTCCCTCCAATAAAATTAATCCAGTATAACAGATATTAAGTGACATCTATCGTTTGCCAGGTAGTATGATTGTTGGGTACATAGATGAAAAATATTTGACCCTCAAGGAGTCCTGAATTTAGTGGGAGACATACCAGCACCTCCAATCAGAACATTATGAAAACTGATATAATCATAATGGCAGCTTGCCAGAGCTCTCATGGAATATAAGAGGAGTGCCTAAGAGAGGGGAATGGGGAGAGGTCAATGGTAGGAAAGGATTGTCAGATATATGATTTTTGATCTGACTCTTGAAGGAGAAACAGAAGTTTGCTAGGCAAAAAAAGATAGAAGACATTATAGGTAGAGAAAACAACATACATTCAAAGGCAAGAAATATAAAATAGTATAGGCCTTGCCGCCTTGCCTCATGAGTCAGTCAGAAACAAATGGCACGCTTGAAAGCTAACTGAAAAGAGTTTAATGAAATACCTGTTTACAGAAATGTAGGAAAGGTCAAGGACACCAACAAAGCTCTTCAGGGATAGCAAGAGTGGGAAGCCACTAACCACCTGGCCAGAGGGGCGAGGGAATGGGATGAAAGGGCCAGAACCTGGTGAAAGCCATGGCCATGGGAGTGGAACTGCCCTACAGGAACCTGGACCAGAAGCAGAGGAAGACAAGCACTGCCAAGTCACAGCCCAGGTCAGCGCCAGGGGGTGTCAATTCCTGTCCTCTCTTTCTTCCAATCTCCAGCAGGCACCTCCCATTGGCTGAACCCCACTGCAAGCCAGAAGGAAAGGGAGTTTGGGAAAGCTTTCTGTTAAGGGTCAGCTTCCTGAGGCCCAGAGAGCAGAGACTAGATCTGGAGAGGCAAAAAATTATCAGCATACCTCATCCCAAGTCCAGACCACGTCCTGTTTCTTGAACAGGTATAGCATAGGACTCTACCTGTAATTAATAGTATAACAAGTTTGCTCTTATTTCTTTCTTCACTGGTAGAAGAGGGGCTTGTTGAATTAAATGACTGGGAGAGATTCATAAGATCTGGTTTGCTAGCAATCTCTGTTCTTCACATCTTTCTGTGTGCCTATTTTTAATAATTATTAAAAATAATTACTATTCTTTCAGATATTTAAAAATAAAAATAAATAATCCTGCCCGGCTGGTGTGGCTTAGTGGTTGAGCATTGACCCATGAACCAGGAGATCACGGTTTGATTCCCAGTTGCGGGCTCCATCCCCAGTAGGGGGCGTGCAGGAGGCAGCCAATCAACAACTCGCTCATCATTGATGTTTCTATCTCTCTTTCCCTGTCCCTTCCTCTCTCTGAAATCAATAAAGACATATTTTTTTTTTAAATAATAATAATCCTAAGACAGAGCAAGGTGACATACCATGTAAGTGCTTATTTGTCTATCTAAACATAACTTTTGTTGTCAGTAGTTGAAACTGGCTTGCATATTTTTGTTCACTTAAGACACGTCATGCTTGATTTATAAATTCTAGTTAAATCACATTAAGGTATCGTCATATTTCATTATGGGGCTACATTGTTTGAAAAGGGGGGATGAGAACAACTTGTCTTTTTACAACCTTTTTCTCTATTTTTCAGATCCATAACTCGATCTTATTACCGCAACTCAGTCGGTGGATTTTTAGTATTTGACATTACGAACCGACGATCTTTCGAACACGTGAAAGACTGGCTGGAAGAAGCCAAAATGCACGTACAGCCGTTTCAGATTGTATTTCTGCTAGTGGGACACAAATGTGATTTAGCTTCACAGCGTCAAGTGACAAGGGAAGAAGCTGAGAAGCTGTCAGCAGACTGTGGTATGAAGTATATAGAAACCTCAGCAAGGGATGCCACAAATGTTGAGGAATCCTTCACCATCTTGACAAGAGACATATATGAGCTCATCAAGAGGGGAGAGATTTGTATTCAGGACGGCTGGGAAGGGGTAAAAAGCGGGTTTGTTCCGAACACTGTGCACTCTTCTGAGGAAGCAGTGAAGCCCAGGAAAGAGTGCTTCTGCTGACTGCAGACGTGCCGAGGAGCTACCAAGAACAGGCGGGAGTCGTCTCAGGACTGGTACCAACATGAACAGGAAAGCGATGCAATGAAAGCATTAAAAAAAGTGATAGGCCCATGTGAACACTGTTTTGCAAGGTGTTCGATCTGGAGCACTTATGCTTACTTGTTACACCGCAAGACTGGGTATTTTGCTAAAGTATCAGGCAAAGCAGACAACTTTTTCTTGAAACTACCAAAATTACCCCCATTCTCACTTTGTTAGTATATAGCTGAACTTAATGTCCAAATATGTCAATATAACTCATTTTTCTTGACAGTTTGAAATGGAGTTTTTGTGCACATACGGTCTGATTGAAAAGATTTTATCAGGAATTACATTCTCTTGAGTTCACTTAGTAACATTGGATGGTAAAGTAGATTTAAGAATGCGCCGTTCACTTACAAATTAAACAATCTCAGAGGTATCAACTACGCTAAAGTAGCAGTTCCTTCTTTAAGGTACCAGGTTTTTATCCATTCTCTGAAATATTTATCTTCCCTTAATTTTGCCGAACATAAGAAAATTAGTTTTGTACTCATTTTTGTTCTCTGATTTATTGCTCCTGAAAATTTTATGGTTTTTGAAGCTATGCAAGGATCCAAGCAAAATATTTTATTGCAAATATTTGTAAAGATAAAAACAAAGGACCACTTATGAACAGAGGTTTTGATGCTATAATATACTGTCCTTATTCAGACAAGAAAAACAAATGTATTTCTATACTGACATTTTCAAAAAAGTAAATGCAGTTTACCTTGAACTATTGTCAAAATTATCAATATAGGTAAATATAGAATGCTTTTAGTAATAGCTTTTTTGCCCAAGTAAATTTCTAAATTTCCCCATTTCCAATACAACATGAGTGTAAGAAAGATTTTTCTGGTTAGTTGGTTAGACGTTTGGTACATTTAGCATTCAATTTCTATTTTACATCTCATCAGTAAAAGTAAAGATAAAATCATGAATCAAGGCTGCAAAATGACTTTTGAGTGTCTTAATTTTTAACTTACTGGTTAAATTCCCATCCGGGTAGGGACATTTTGATGCAATGTCAAATTTTATATAATATACATTTCTATTCTGTTCTGTAAACCATTCCTATTACAAAGGGGCACCATGAAGCTGCCTTTTTGGAATCATGAGGTTTTTACTGTTAAACTGTAGTAGCTTCATTTTTTTTTTTTTTTT